TAACGCAAACTTTACTACAGTTGTTTTCCGTCAAGAAGCTTTTAGGGGCAGAAAGATCTGTTCGTGGTCCTGAATGTTTTGACACATTATAATTGCTTGGTATTGCGACAATCAAAGCAAATTTACACATTATTTACTGTAGTGCGTAGCTGCAATTAAAGAAATCCATTTCAGCAGGGTCACTCATTACAGAAAAAACTAAAAAGGTAATTCAGTCATTCGCTAAAACATCCAGCAATCTGTTACGCACTTAATGAAAGGCACACGCAGAAAGAAAACTTAACTTAAATGTTTAAGAAATCTATCGTTTATTTCTGTCATTTTCCCAAACACAATTGTTATTAAAGCAAATCACAAACCCAACACAATTCTATACAGAACAACAAAATGAAAGAGAAAAGGAAGGAGGAACGAGGTGCAGTCCTAAAGGGATGAAGGAGGTTGTCAAAGGAAGACAGAAAGGGCTGTCATGCTAGATAAAATCTAGCTGTAGATCCACATAAGGTGCACCTCATCATCCGTATTTCTAGACGCTACACAGCGACTCCAATAACAATGAACAAAAGAATGCAGAGAAATCTACTTCCCACTTAATAGAATGAAGCCCCTTGTCTGCAAAATAAAGACTGCACAAGTGAAATTTTCAACACTATTCCAGGGAGAGTGATGTCACCCTAACAGCACAGTGTAAAAAAATCTACACTGTATATATAGATCTACAAGTTCCTCATCATGAGATACAGTGCTTGTATTCAAATATAGCGACATTCTTTTGAATTTGAATTTTTAGGAGTGTACAGAGTTTGGAATCAACAGTTAAACGTGAGTCGTTTTTTTTTTAAAAAAAGGCCCAAAAGCACACAAAAAAAAGATACATTCTGACAGTTAGCAACTCAAAGCTTCAGGGATATTGAAGCTCATTTTAAATGTATCAGGTTGATGCTCATCTCTAGCAACACTGTACATCAGGGAAAAAAAAAAGAGAACCAGATACCCATAGAAGCACAACAAAGACAGATGAAATAAAATAAAAACTGGGCTGGGGTGTATTAAGCATGTAGTACAACTGTGACTTTTATGGACTGAAACACTTCTTGATGCCCTGTGTAATCTCTTATTCTCATACCTATGAGATGATTTGATTTGGCTGACAATGCTTTGAATTCCCCAAGTAGAGGCAAAAGTCCTGAGGTCTGTAAGCCTACTGACACTATACGATGCCAGCTGTAGAGTACAATATCAGTTTATGGTCAATACGGTAGGTCTCATTGCTGTATTGCTAGCTCGCCCATTATTCCTGAGAAATAAAGCAATCACAGCGTGATACATTTTCATTTTTCCTGACAGGACATTTTACCAAAAAAAGCATTGCTTGGCACTGTAATTCCCATTCCCAAACATGGCTCAATTGGTTCAGCAAATGAAAAAGCACATACAGCAAAAGCAAAAGTCCAGAGAATGCTTGACAGCCTTCAGTTACTTCATTCCAAAAAAGTTACAACCCTAAGTTTTTTTCATAAAAAGTAAAGACACTGACAATGTATTGATTTTGTTTATGAACAAAATAAAACATTTCATAATCCCTTAAGAGAAACTCTGAAATAATGAATATACTATACAGCAGTAACCAATTAACTGCTGAAAAACAAAACAAAACACAACAAAATGATCTATGATTCTTTTGTAATGACAAGGTAAGAACTCTCTGAGATGTTATATCAAAGTTAAATGCTAACTTTCTACAGCACAAATAAACCTGAATCACAAATTGCATTCCATTGTATTTTTAAGCATGAGGTCACATCAAATAGGCAACATGCACTTTTTAGAGGTAAATATTTATTTTGTTACCTTTTTAATACTTTATTTACCCTCTTTTTTTTACAGCTGTTGTGATTTAATGAATCTTATGCATAGGGCAAAAAGAGCAGAATATTCAGATCATTCCTGTTAGACACTTCTTGCACTTACTGCAGGTAGGATAAATTTGAAAATGTATGAAAGAGCTGAAACTCATTCCATAACAGAAACTCACAAATAACAGACTTTGACAAGTATATTCAGATTCATACTGAAAAGAACTGTCATCTCCTCATTATCTTTGCTTAAAGATAAGATTCTTGAAGTTGCTGTTCAATTCTTTAGCATCTAAAAGGGAAGGTTAAGGTGGCAGATACACTTAAGTTATCACATTCAGAACATAAGTTGCTCAAGGAATGTGGAGTCTAGAAATCTCTGAAACACAGAATACATAACTAATAATTCTGCCAGTTTGCAACTAAAGATTTATACATTCATTCCCAAGTGGAATACAGGGTGCACAGCAAAGATATTAGGAATGTTTACAGTCATCGACTGGTTAAAGCACAAGCATACTGCTAAACTCTGAAAACACTAGTTCATTGCATAGCCCTCTACACTGTACTAGAACCAGACTCAAGTACTTTAACAGCACTCTGTGGCTATTTCCAGTCATAAAAAAATCAAATAAAGCTGATCACTGCAGTATGAAATCACCATGGCTTACAGTTTAAGAGATGTTTGTCCAAAGCTATTGTTTTATTTATTTTCAAAAATAAAGTAAATGAATTAAAACACAGACCTTTATAAATTACACAGGGTGGAGTGGGATGCACAAGACGTGGCATGCTCTGAAGGGAAAAGGCATCAAAAGACAGCAGTGTCCAATTATGCACTGGTAACAAAGCAACATTGAAAGGCCATTCAAATGTTAGCCACAACCAAAACATACAAGAATGTAAAGCTGTGTGGATCACTCCTAAGAAGGGGTCAAACACTACTCTTCCTAACCTGTTTGCTGTAAATATACTGAAGGCCAAAGTCTTGAGTCGAAAGAATCCACTACTCTTCAGGACAGAAAACAACTGAGGGAATAATTATGAGGAAAGGCTGCCTATTCACAAGGAAGATAGGGGGGGGAAAAACAAAGACCTTCATCTACAGCAGAAAGAAAAACTGTCAAGACTATTGTACCCATTGTCCATGTGCCTACAATTCCAAGCCCAAGCACTGACAATGGCACTTGACTATGTCAGTACGTATAAGGAATCACAGAGGTTGCTGCTATCCTGTGTGCATTCTGTAAGCCCATTTATTGTTACACTTAAAGAATTGCCTACCATCACCATGTATGACAGCTTTATGAATGAAAAACGAGACATGACAACATGAAATGTACCTTATGACTTCTTCATGCTATAGCTAGCACATCTTGAGAGATCTTACCTGTTCCACTTACTTGGCCCTTGTGTCTGATATCACACTTAAGTTTGGCTTTACTAGCATAGCTGTTTTTGTCATTGAATTTTTTTGTTGATAGAAAGCGATCATCACGGAAGAGAGTATAACAGAATTGTAATAGTTTCCCTGCATGTCTGCAAATGTCTAACGAGGCAAAACAAATGTTGAAATGGGCAAAGAAAAGTTTGTAGGTGATACCAATTAATCAAGATGTGCCTGAACAGGCTAAAGAATACAAAAACAAATTAGTTCAGAAAGTCTGGTATCTATTATTACAAAACTAAAAGAGATAAGCGAGTGCTTTCATTTCTGACACTATTAATACATCAATGTCAGCATTTCATATTTTCCCAAATGACTTATTTGAATGTTGAAAAGAAAGCCCTACTATTTTTACCTATAGTGGTTTATCAAGTTTCATTCTACAGTATTTGCCTATGAAGACTCATCCAAGTAATGTTATAAGCAGAGAATACAAGGTGACTTCATTTCTATGGGGCTGTTACCTTAAAGAACCTAAAGAGCAATTTTCCATCTACATGTAAAACTGAAGATGAGAATTAGACATAGCAACTCAGTTTTTGAAAAGAGCCTACAATTTTAATTTTAATGCTCAAAAAAGAAAAAGCCATTATTATTCAGCCTTTCTCTGACAGAATACCATATCAATTTAAACTAAAACAGCAATAAAATCTTCACAAGATTAAAATTAGTAGCTCATATAGATATTGGTGTGACATACAATACTTTAGGCTATATAAGAGTGTTGTTAGTATTATAAATATGGAATAGAGTGTCATACCTGTACTTACATCAGGGTGTGTTTTAATATTTATCTAATTCAGCAAGGATAGGGCTGATATCAATAACAAAAAAGACACTAAAGTTTTTTTCTCTTCCAAAATGTACCCATACCAATATGTTTATTAAACATTTCTGGCAGAGCTATGCTTTGACAATAAATTCATCACTATTAAGCGTTTTCGATTCTACATTAATGACTATGCACACCCCATTACCATTACTGTGGATAACGTGTGGTTGTTGTGGCTGTCAGCAGTCACTGAGCAAAAAAATGATATCGATAAAAAATTGCGATTTGGGCATGATGCTTATTATGGGACAAAGAACTTAATGTCGTTTCTATTTTTCCTGTGGAAGTTGGAAGACTATACAGCAAACAGCAACGTCAATGCACACTGAAGCGATACCGTGAAGACAATGGACACATGCAAGATATCTAAACCACTACAAGACGCAATAACACGTTTAAAGTTACAGCCCCCTTATCGTCAAACCGGCAGCTATCTGCCATGAATTATTCGTGCGTTTTTCCACAGAGAGAACGCTGGCAGGCAAGAGCCCCTCGAAGGCGGAATCTTTACAAGCGGCTCCGAAACGCCATCATCACCATCCTATTGAATCCCGTCTATTGTACTGCTGTAGAGTCTCAGCCACAAATAACAAAGCCACTGAGCTTAACGCGGCGCTCAACACTAAAACCATCTAAAAGCACAAGCACCTAATGATGGGAATTTTACTTCAGAGGTCTTCCAGACCCCTTTGCCCAGGGAATGTATTTGCTTTTATTAAAACACGGCTTGATATCCATCTGCTCAGGACGATTTGTGAATGAACCGAAAACACACCAACGCCAATTACAGTACCCCCCCACCACCACCTCCAGAAGCTGCCACACCAACTTTATACTCAGTTCCTTAATTTTCTTTCCCTCTTACCTTGGTGTAGCTCCGGTCGGATCGGGCGGGGAGGCAGGTATGCAAATAACCCCTGTGCAGTTCAGAACGTTTATATAAAATACTTGACAGAGGGGAAGAAAAATCCAGTTTTATTCCAGGTCCTTTCTTTACAGGCCCTGCAACTCCACTCTCGTTCTCTCTCTCTCCCCCTACCTTTAGCTCAGCCCACTGTCTTGCTCAATGACGTCAGCCCTGCCATAGGACTGAGAAAGCTGGAGCACCGAAGCAACTGCGCTGGGGAGCCGCTCTGGACAGAGATGGGCTGTCTCTCTTACATCGCCAGTGCTCGCTGCTGCCAATTGCTGTGTTAACTACATTATATGTCCGGACGAGTACGCAGACTTTAGTGTCAGCTTAGCTAGCACTTCTTAAGAATAGATGGGCACACGGCAGGAACGATCATATTAATTAAATGAAAAACTAAAAAGAGGACACCAACTGAGACATACAATTCGTTGAGTAAACTAGCTGGCTTTATGCTGAAACTGAAATGCTCTTTTAAGGTTTAGATATAGCGCCTTAAAATAAGCTGGAGACGAAACACTGAAAATAATGATACAGCAAATATTGCGCATTCAAATACCGTCACTCACGGTATTTACCATACGTTATGTATTTTTTCAAGAGAAAGTGTTTTGAAATGTTTGAAATACAGTGATGAAAATTGTCAAGCGGAAATAAAACCTCGGATACCTCTTATGCATAGATCAAATGGCTATAGTTGTTCCCCGTTTCCTTACAGGAACAAGACATTTCCTGATTATTAACTTGATTGCCTCTATTTTTAAAGGGTATGGAGGGCAGAAGCAGTGAGGCGCATACATGCTAATATAAAGTAATTTCCTACTAGACCCCTGGAAGTATGCAAAAATGTATATTAAATAATACTATATTGCAATTATATTAAATTATGTATATTTTAAGCAGAATTTGCATATATAATCTATTTGAAAATTATATAATAGAATAAAATACCTCTTTTCTAGATCCTGTTCTCTTTTAATCATTGTATAAAGTGCTTTCTGCACATTTTTCTAATTTGAATATCCCTTTCAGACTACAGCTTTCCTTTCTTGCTTTTGACTTTCTTTTGGGATGAATCTGCTCCGTATTTGTAACTTTGTGTTGCCATCCACTCTACTGAATCTATGTCATTTGTATCTACAGCAAAAACATTTCTTTAAATTTCAGGTTGACTCTTTCCTTTATGTTCAGTTTTTCCGAAATTGCCAATCTTTCTTTTGGGCTTAGCAGAATTTCTAAATATACTTCAAAACGTACATATTATGATCACATTTCTGTGATGGTTTTCCTCACTCTGTTTTGATTGTTTGAAAACACTAGATCAATACAGGCATCACCTTGGGCTTCTGATAATCTGAGTATGGAATCATTCATTACCCATTTCTACCATTGCAGTTTCAGCTACTGACCTACCTGGTGGTTTGTCCAAATCTACATGGGGAAAGTTAATATCTCCCACAATAACAACTTCTTTTAAACATATTTTCCTGAATTAACTGCAAAAGACTGAATTATAGTTGTACATTCATATAAGTTGTATATGAATTTGGCAGTCAGGAGCATGTTCCTACCCACTCATGTTATATTCTTCATTACCACTCAGTCCGCTGTGCTGATTTTGAGCATCTTGAATACTTGTAGAAGTTCCCTCATATTCTTCTCTGTTTAAAACTAAAAATGTATTTCAATCTGTCAGTGTAGGATATTGCTTATTCCTTTATGTCCTGGAATGCACCTCTATTGGTCTTCTCTTGAATGATTCCAGATTGTGACCACAATTGTACATAACATGCTAAAAAAGGCCATAGTGGTGCATTGTACAATTTTAACGTGACATTCCTTGACTTGAATTCTGTACTTTTGACTATACAATCTAAAATTTTGTTTGCCTTTTTATTATTTACCAGCACTTTCTGGAAGATGTAAACAATGTGTTGACAAAAACACCAAAGTCCTCTTCATAAGTAGCTTCTTCTAGCTCATTGGGTCCTATTGTTTTTACTTTTATACTAACTGCATGCAAAACCCTGCACTTCTCTACAGTAGATTAAATGTAATCTGCCAAGTGTTTGCCCAGTTTTGAATTAAAGCAAATTCTTTGGGAATTCCATTTGCTGATTCTACAATATTAGCTAATCATTCTAATCTGGTATTATCTGAAAGATAGTTTACGAATTATACCATAATCATTAATATAAATTAAGAATAGCTGTGGTCCTGGTAAATACTGTGGTACTCCACTAATTACATCGCCCCAATTTAATCATTTAGTTTTAATCATGTTTATTTGCTAATTATTAATCAGTTCTCAATCCAGTTGCATACATTTCCTTGCAGGACTTCAGCCTGTAATTTCAAATTAAATCTGTGATAAGTAACTTTATAGACAGCTTTCTGAAAATGTAAATACACCATATCTTATGCCCTGTATCTGTCAAAATTTCACTTAAAGGTCAATTGGTCAGTCATAGATAAACATATAGATATATAGGGAACATGTGCGTTCCTCTTAATTTTAATGGATCATTCTCTATGTCAGGCTGACAAAAAACAGGATTGCAGTTACAGCCGCCCAGCCACTATAGGCTGCTGGGCAGCCTCTAATCTTTGTAAATAGCTACACAGTGGGTGTTAATTAGGTAATTGATTAGATTTGTGTTAAAGATATTATGGTAAAGGTATTATAAAGGTAAATGTTATTATTTTAGTGGTAAAATAATATAAGAACATTTGTTTATGGCATGTTTATACTGTATATGAGTTTTATTAACCCTTTATTATATTGGATATTGCACTTGCCTGGAATGATTCAGCAGCAGTACTGTATATTTTTGTGACATTGTGACCACAATTGTATATCATATTCTAAATTAGGCCATAGTAATGTATTGTACAATTTTAACATGTCATCCCTTGATGTATAATATACACTGATTACGCATTGTATTTTTCACACCCTTTGTGGTTCTTTATTAAGTATGAAACTTATGGTCAGCTGAGCTGCTATGTCTTAATGTCACAACTTTACACAATTGAGGATACTCATTTATATATAAAAAATAGGTTATTAATAGTTATGTTTTCTATATGCTGAACTGCATTAACAATATTTGGGGTTTCACTGATCTTAAGATGAAAATGTTTTTTTTTCTATTCAAATTGATATTTTTAATTTTGTCTGCTTTTTAGTTTGAAACCATATTATATTGTATACAAATAAGGTTTCTCTGTAACTTTCTAATAAAAACATTCATGGTCAAATAAAAAAGCTCAAAAGCAATTGTGGAAGCTAGCAAGCTAATCACCAGCACTACTACCAGGTCAGCCATTGCAAAAGTTCCATCACTCACTGCAAGTGAAAATCATAAACTATAAAATCAGAAGGTAATTGTCTTTAGTATCCTTAAAAATGTTCAGTTACTTATGTAATGAATATATTAAATTGCCCCAGTAACAACAGATAGAGACCATTAAAATTGTCTTATTTCAAAACCTTAATTAATTGGTTCTCATTAAAATCAGTGAGCTCCCTCATATACTGCAGATTTAAAATGTTGTAGTAGAGTTGCAGTAGCATAGTGGAGCAGTGGTTAGCATTGCTGCCTCACATTGCTGGAGCCCTGGATTCAATTCCAGACCTGATGTGCAGAGTTTGCATGTTCTCCCCATGTTTGCATGGGTTTCCTCTGGACCTCCAGTTTCCTTCCACAGTCCAAAAACATACCAATAGGTTAATTGACTTCTCTGAATATAAAACGTGGTGTGAGTGTGTATGTGTGTCCGTGTTTGTGTTTGTGTCTCACAAAGAATGTCCATGGTACACCCCGCCTTGTACAGTTGGTTGTCAGGACAGGTTTCTGCTCCCCTGTGACCCTGAATGGGATTAAGTCATTAGAAAATGGATGGATTGTAGAATCCTGCAGTGTTAGCAGGATTGTCTATGCTAACACTGGGAGCACAGTAAAACTACAAAAACTGCAAAGAAATACTTGAAGAGCCTGCTGCAAACTGTATGCACGCATTACCTTTATAAACAAAGTTTGCATTCTCATTGCTGTAGAATAGGACCTGAATTGTATGATTCACTTGACAGATTGTTTAAAAAAACTCAAGGTCAAAATCCTGTACCTGAATCATCATTCTTTATTATTAGTATAGATTAGCATAATCCAGAATTGCATGGACTGTAATCATTGTTTATCAGCCTCATTAAATAAATAGGATTTTATTTTTTAAATTATTACACTTTGCAGGTACGGGATACAGTTATAGGATGCTTACAAGTTTTATGTTATGAGCAGAATGCTCAAGTGGAAGTACTTTGTGTCTCATCAGACCACTTGCTTCATTAAAAGCTGTCAGATTCAGTGTTATTTGCCACTGTTGCTGTCACGGTTTGCTCATTTTAAACAAAACGTTCCTTCCCAAACAAATAACATGAAGGTTTTTTCTTCTTCAGGCTCCCCCTGCTGTTCATACTTACAAGAACATATTACTGAGAAGCAAAACACACTCCCAGTTTCGTTATTGGTAAAAACTTCCATCAGTGAGTCTTCCTTACATCACTTTTTAACCACTTTATCCAGTACAGGGAGCCTGTCAGAACATATCCAGGTAAGCAACAGGTACACGGCGGGAATCTGTGGCCTGAATCTCAATCACTTTCCTTTATTTTTCTTTTATACATTCTTTTAAAAAAATATTCTTGTCTGAAATGTCTTTGACAGGTGCTGAATTAAATTTTACTTAAGGCCATAGAATTCAACTTTAATACAAAGGTAAGATCCCACCCCAATCAGATTGGCTCCATATGCAGGTAAAGATGAGACAAAGCTTGATCCAAAAACGAGCTCAATTCTATTGTCACTCTTTGCTACAGATAAAAAATGCTTCAAAAGTATGTCTAGGTATTTTGCTCCAAATAGCCTCAACCCTTTGCATAAATTGTGCCTCCTGTTTTTAATCCTAAAGGTACATCCTCATAATTTCCATTTTTTGTCCTTGTCTCACTGTTGGTCATAAAGCAGTCCTTTGGGTTGACTTGTTAAAATCCTTTAAAATTGTAAAAACTTTTTGGATATATCTTCTTTTTTTTCCTGGTTTAAATAGTCTGCTCTATTGAAAGACTGGGGAGATTCAGTTTGAAAGGTTCTGCCCCTAATCTGGACAAGGCACAAGAAGCTGTTGCTTTTGTATCAACCATTATCCTATGGCATACATATGTCAGCGGCCAGCCAAATTATCTAGATTTCTTTGTTCCATATGCATGCTTTGACTTAAGCATGAACCATGATGTGTATGCTTTAAAACCAAAAAAACATTGTGTTTCTATTATATTTGTAATGTTAGAGAGTAGTAAACTTACAAAATTTATAAGTGGATGCATCAAGTGTTTTTCAAGGGTTCAAACACTACAAAACATAAAGCCTAAGCAAAAATAAAACATTATGGAATGTTGTGATTTAGTGAATTTAATGTGAAACAGTCTAGCTTGTGGTTTCTGGTTTATAATTCAATATTAGACAGTAAACTTATTTATTTTTAGAAACAAGTTAAGGTTTATTCCATGCTGAAAAGAGAAGAAAGGAACTCCGAAACGTTGTTTTCTTTCTTCTCTTTTTGGCATGGAATACATCTATTACTTGTTCCTTTGCAGCTTACGCATGCTGATGCAGCTCCCCACCTGAACAGTGAACATATGAACATATGAACAGTGTTTCTCAAAATGCAAAACAACTCTACACCACAATCACCAGCCCTGCACTCCACTAAGGATGTGTAAGCTTGAAATCTTATTTTATGATTTAAACGAAATGTCAGCAGTAATCTTATTAAAATGGGGGTGCTGCTACTTTCTTTAGTACAGCCATAAAAAAAACCATTTTTTTTGGCAAGGGCGTTTTTTTTTCAGGTAACAAAAATAAAAGGGCAAAACACATAAACTTTGAGCTGTAAAATTATTTTACAATAATCCATACTCAAGTAAATTGGAAACTGTTAATCCCATAGCCAAAACACGCTACTGTGACAGTTATTAGAGATTTATTTTAACATAGTTTTATATAAACTATACCGGTAAAAGGGGATGAAGGGAGAAGAAATACCAGTTCCAAAATGCAACGCGCACATGACGTCAGAAAAACGCGCCGGTAGTGTGAGAAAACACGAGATCAAGGCAACGGTGACAGCGTGTGGAATGTCACTTTCTTGAATATGTGTTGCTATTAAACGTTAAAATGTCTGTTTTTCACGACGAAGTAGAGATAGAAGATTTTGAATATGACGAGGAAACGGAGACATACTATTTTCCCTGTCCATGTGGGGACCGTTTCGCTATAACTAAAGTAAGTAATATGTATATAGTACAGTACATGGCCTTATTCAAGAATAGTCCTACACGTTTCTGTAGGTCTCAATTTACTTCAGAATTACTGTACTTAATTAATTATGCAGCATGTAATTGTAATTGTAAAAATACAGTTAATGGATTTTTAAAGAAACTACGTATTTTCTCTTTTTAAATAAGATTTTGTATCAAGTGGTTTAACACGCTTTTCTGTTGAAATAGTTTTTGAAACTCACGAACGTCGGATCTAAATTAATAGTAATTGATTGTATTGCTAGTTTGAAATACAGGAAATGTCGCGAAGGACTGTGAACAATTACACTGTTGAGGGAAAGTTAAGTTCTTTAATTTAGGTAAAATTTGGGATATCCTGCGTTACCTCTGTGGAGCTTCCCTGGGAGAGTCATTGATTTTGAATTAAATGCGATTTTTTTACAATTGCAATTCCTCTTCATAGTCTGCGTTCACTAGGCGTGAATTAAAAGTTTATTCAGGTAGTGTTAACTGATTGTAGTTCAAATGTTTATAAGTCAAGAAACAACTGATTAGTGTTTGTATTTTTATACTTTGGTGCAAAGAACCGTTTCCTGGTCTGTTTTTTTTTTTGGTACCCAACACTTGTCTGCATAAAATAAAATGTGTCATGTGTCAGGTCTTTGCTCATTCGTGAATTTTATCTAAATCAATTTGAAATGTATTTGCTGCTTCTACAATGCTTGCTCATCATCCATATTTGGCATAATCTTCATATTTGACTAATGCACCAAATCTAATACAATCGGCAGCATTGACATAAATTAGGAAGAGTATGCTCCTTGTCCTATTCCCTGTTGTACTTCACGAATTAAATTACCCCCAACTAAAGCATTCACCCTTTACCTGTACTCTATTAACCAATTGTCAATTATATAACTTTTCCCTAAATGCATTTATTCCTGTAATGTGAGAATTAGTTTTATGAACACCCTTCTGAGAAGTTAAATACACCACATCAAAATATTTGTCTATCCATTATCGTTGTTCCTTTCTATTAAAAATTGAGAGTTTATTCTGGTTTGTATGTGATCTGACTGATCTTTAACCTTTCAGGAAGACCTAGAAAATGGTGAGGAAGTAGCTACCTGTCCCAGCTGTTCACTAATAGTCAGAGTAATCTATGACAAGGTATGTTGAATCTTGTGCTAATATGTAAAACACTATTTTTAACCATAAAGTCATTTTCAAGTCTTGCTAAATGCTTCTCATTTAGCAGTGGATTCTGTTCAAGCACCACTGAAGTGGAGCTCCCACAGAAGTGATGACAGCCCCACTACACAACATATGAGATGAAGAAGTGAGAAATTAGGGAGGCCAGATTGCGCAAGCCCACCAAGGGTTAACACCCCTTCTCACACCAATAGTATAATGTGATCTTTATTGACCAAATATTCAGCACCTTGATTTAACAACTCATCAAAGGTACCTACTATAGCTTATTCCTAATTAATTAGGAAATTTTGTCTCAAGGTAAGGGTGCCACCTATCAGTTTGCCAACACTACTTCTATTAACAGTCTGTTAGTCCTGAGAGGTTTTCCATGTGTGTAATGAATCAGTCCTGCTTTGCTTTTTTTCTGACATGTAATGGTATCTGACAAAAAGATAGTAGTAAAACTACAAAACTGTTTACTACATTCATGGGAAAAGTACAGTTTTTTTACAGTTGCGAGGCATGTTAAGTAATTTATCTGCAATAGAAAAATTTCTCTCTTGTGCATCATGAGTTAAAATATTTATTGCATTTTATGTATTTCCTGTCTACAGGAAGAGTTTATGTCTGGGGAAATTGTGGAAGCACCTGGAGCAAGAACAGTTGAACTTTTGAAGAGCTGATGGGTGATGTTCAACCTATAGCTTTTGAACTTCTAGTGTGCACTAAGACTGTCACACAGGGGTGTTTTTGATCCCCTGGAGACAGAAGTGGCATCTCTAAACAAATTAACATGCAGACCGTACGGGAGCTATTGATGCAAAAGAGAACAGTAACTAAATGTGCTGTCCTGGACACTTAAGGAAAGTGATGGTTATCCAACAGAACTATCACTGCTGCGTTTTTAGATGTATTTTATGTAATTATTTATTTGGTAAATAAACACCACATCCTGTAGTTACTACATTATGCTAGATTGATTTATTTCATTTATTATTTTATGTAAAATCCATTTGAAATAAGACCTCACTTTTAACTTCAAAAACCAGAAACATGTTTATTTTAAGAATAAGTGGTTTGTAATATAATGTTGCTACATTGATTGCAAAGTGGAAGTGCATTAAAGAACTGTCTTATGTTCCAAATATAAGCATTGATATTAGAGAGAACGCTAAGATAATACAGGACATTTTTTAAATTCTGAATTCCACTGTTCAATGTTCAAATCAATGGATTACTGTTCTAAAAAATATCTGAAAAGATAAAGAAATTGAGAGCCAGCTTTTGAGTTGTCCAAGCTGTAAAAGTGCTTGGACAATTCAGGTTAAGCTCTCCAGCCCAGATGACACAAATTTACACAAGGGTCATGTCAGCCAGGAATGGGGACTCCCCAGGCAGAGTATCATTAGGATTGTGTTGGGATTCGTTAGCCAGAATCATGTCAGCTGTCAGTGTGACTCCTGCAACTTGCTTGATACCTGCAGGCTTGCAGCCACATCAGTGAAAGACGCCAGTCTTCCCCTTGGAACTAATTGTCCTGTCTAGCATTGTGGAGCTTGAGCATGTCAAATAATTAATGATTTACTATACCCTGCCAGTTCCAAGTAAGATTTGTTATAACTACATTAAGTCTAGAATAATCAATTTCACTTCACACTCTCGTATTAAGCAGTTCTTTTTAGTAATTTTTGAACTAGCAAATCTAATGCAATTTTATTTGTCATAGCATTCAATTACATTATCATAAAATCGATCAGCAGAAGTGCACTTGTATGAAGGATTCAAGTGAGTATAAAATGTATTGTTATAAGATACATGTTTTCAATTTTTTCTGAAATAATAAAACACAACACAGGTAGAAAATTGTGTTAGAAGGATGTCTTTACACATGGTGTTTTAGGAGTATGAAATGACTGAGGTCCTTGAAACAATTAGATTCTAAAAAGCAAAACAAGCTAAATAGGATGAAAGATATCCTCTCATTTTTAGTCATTGTTGTGTTCTTTTTATTTTGAAGCTACAGTATACTGAATTTATTAAGGTGCAAATCTTATCCTTTTCATATGTTTTATTTTGGGAGCAATTTAGGCACTGCGTTTTCACATTATATTTCTTAGCACTGGAGTTTGGGGGGGAAAAAGACCATTTGTCTTCCAAGCCTGGTGTTATCATACAGTGTAAGCTAAAATTAAAATGTGAAGGATGCTTTTATGAGTAATTTGTGGCAACACATGGTTATCCTGCCAGTATGTGAGAACACTCGTGTCCTCAGAGCTTGCGGCAATCAACTGGCGGGTGTATTCACAGACATTTTCAACATGTCTCTGGCCCAAGCCATAGTCCCCACCTGCTTCAAGACAACCACCATCATCCCAATACCAAAGAAAACCACAGTGACTGTCTTAATGACTACCGACCAGTGGTACTAACACCTGTCATCATGAAGTGCTTTAAGAGGCTGGTCATGAAGCACATTAAGGACACCATTGCAAAAACACTGGACCTGTACCAATTTGCCTACCAGCCCAACAGATCCACAGATGACACAATCTCCATTGCCATACACGCTGCCCTATCTCATCTGGATAAAAAGAACACATACGCAAGACTACTATTCATCGACTTCAGCTCAGCTTTTAACACTATCATTCCAGAGAAACTAGTCAAGAAACTCAGTGCACTGGGTCTCAACACCACCCTCTGCAACTGAATTTGGGACTTTCTGATAGGCAGACCTGGTAGGCTTGGAAACCACACCTGGGTGGTCCCCCAGGGGTGTGTGCTTAATCCATTACTCTCCTCCCTCTACACCCACGACTGTAAGGCCAAACACAACACCAACCCCATCATCAAGTTTGCTAATGACACCACAGTTGTAGGTCTGATCACAGACAGTGATGAGAAGGCCTACAGGGAGGTCAATCTCCTTACAACATGGTGTGAAGACGACAACCTCACCCTCAATGTCAGCAAAACCAAGGAGCTGATCATTGATTTCGGGAAACTGCAAAACAGACATGCCCCTATCCACATCAACGGGACTGAAGTGGAAAGGGTCAGTAACTTCAAATTCCTTGGCGTCCATATCACCGAGGCCCTAACGTGGTCTCTCAATGCGCAACAGCGCCTATACTTCCTAAGACGGTTGAAGAAGGCTAAGATATGTCCCCAGATCCTAACTAACTTTTACAGATGCACTACAGAAAGCACACTGACAGGTTGCTTCACAGTGTGGTATGGCAACTGCAGTATTGCTGACTGCAAAGCCCTACAGCGGGTGGTGAAAACTGCCCAGTCCATCACTGGGATTGCCCTCCCATCCATACAGGACATTTATGACAGACGGTGCTTGAGAAAAGCTCTAGGTATCATCCAAGACCCCACACACCCCAGCTACAGGCTGTATGACCCTCTACCATCTGGAAAACGGTGCCGGAGCATTCGGACTACCAGACTCAGAGACAGTTTTTACCCCCGCACAATCAAACTATTAAACTCCCAGCCTCTCTCACCTCACCTCTCACCTATGATCTGAACCTCACAGTGCCTTCTTTCTTATCAAAAATTCAAACACACATTGAAATCTACCTCTACCTTATATGTCAAAAAGCTCACTCCCCATAATTTTCTATCCTTTTATTTCATCCTGCTGATGCATGTTTTTGTACATCTGATGTTGTTTTTGCACATTACCTGTTACCTTTTGTTGTTTTGCACACTGCCTGTTGTTGTTTTTGCACACTGCCTGTTGTCTCTGTCTTTCTTTTATTATACAATTGTATTGTTGTTTTTTTTGTACTACTTATCGTCTGAGAGCTAGCTAAATAGCATTTTGTTATACCATATATCTGTATATGAGTATAATGATGATAAACTTGAACTTGAACTTTCACTGCCTTCTCATTTCTTTTAAGATCTTAGAAAAAATGGTTGGAAGTAGTTAAGACTTACTAAGGGGGAATTAATCAAGGTTTAAATGTAAAGTGTGTGTTTGATCCCTTCTGCTTATTTTCTGGCAATTAAATACTTGTGTTTATATTGTAAGGCAAAAAATGTAAGTGTAAAACAAGGGTCCACTCTGAATTGTATAATACACAGCTGAAAAAGAGATTAGGAGAAATATATCAATGTCTTTTACCGATTTGTGTCAAACATGGCACACACAGCGATGCTGAACAGGTGCAATTATTCATTTTTGGAGAGTGGGCTGTCAATCAAAGAAGTAAGCCCAGGAGGCAAGACTTCAAGTTAATTTAAAGACAAACAAAATAAATGGATTGCATATTTGTGTTTCCATCAATATTGCTAAAGTTTAGTTTGCACAGGAAACATCTAAATCATAACAAATGTCGAAGTCTTTTGTAAGAGAAAATTGATCATTGAATTATATTTTTCTATTTTCATGTTTTCATTTTCAAGGGAAGCTTCTTTCTATTGTAATACCCTTATTTCCACAAGGTGGCACTGTAGTCCAAATTTAAATTAAACTTGTTCCTAAATCAAAAAGATAGTGAGAACTAGCATGTTATCTTTCATGATTTTGTACATTATAGCTTTGAAAACATTGAATATTTATTGATAGTATTATTGGAATATAAAAATATTTTCAAGCTGCACAGTTACAAGGATTGAAGGCTACAAATCATGTAGTGGGGGACTGTGGATGAGGATTATTATTCATTCTTGACTCTTATTTTGATAATATCTTGTCATTTCTCAATATATAACTTTATTCACATCTCATTGTTACAGGAAATCTTGACATTTGTATTTCTCTGAAAGCAGTCTGTTCTTTCAAATTTATACAAAGCTGTCTCCACCTGTACAGTTTTCCTAGAAAAAGGTCATGCACACAAGTAAAGGAAGGTTATCAGTTATCTCCGTTTGTTGTATTAATAATTAAATTATCCTTATCTCTAATTACGATCTCAAGTGATTTAGTATTATAACAATATCAGAACATTAGCATTATGAAATAATCTGAACTACTACTGTATTCGGATATCCTCATATTTGAAGGTTATTTGACAGGTGCACCATGAAAGTTTCTGCCTTGTTCACAATTTCTCAAAGAAGAGGAAATAATTTCAAGAAAATACCACTGTTTGACTGGTGTAGTATCCGTCATCAGCAACTGTTGGAAACGTTCTGCCCAGAAAATCAGAAATTAGTCTTGAAAAACTCCTGAAAAGCAGGTTTGATGAGTTACTTTAATACCACTTTAAAGTAACAAATGACAGGAGACCCATAAAATATTATAATGCTAGAAAGGAGCCTCAACTCCACTCCTCACATGCAGCAGTGTCTTCTTGATTTCATTCTGAGTTCTTAATTATATAATTGAATTATTTACTTAACCTTATTGCCAGGACTGAAGTACTTAATGTACTATGAGACCTAAAAATCCCATGTGGTTCCTAGTTTTTTTCCCCATGTTACCCAAAGGTCAGCAACTTTTATCAAATTTGTCATGAGAGTAGAGAGGTGTTAGCAAAATGAGGACTTACTGTAAGTTAGTGTTCACTGAATGACCACATAACAGCAACTGTAGTTAACTGGCTGAGCTTCACTGAAGCATTTTATTTCTGAAATGATGGCTGGTATAGGATGGCTCTCATTCAAGTCCTCTTCAAGCGAAGGTGGCAGGCCTGCTATCTTGTTAAAATGTACTGTACTTTCCCATGACTTCTTTTGTGCATCAGAATGTTATACAGTATATGCTGTTGAAGGAAAAAAACACACCTCCCACTTGCCAGCTTTTCTGTTGCAATTGAATGCACAGCTAGTCTAAAATGAAATAGTAGCATATTACTGATACTGATATTATTCATGTTGTTCTTAGTTCTCATAGGTTTTAGTGTCATTCTAATTTATTGCTTAATCAATTCACAACATTGCGGTGTTCAGTTTTATTTCTGTCCCAGAATCTTCCTGCAAATTACTATGTAATCAGTGTACTCCTTATTTGT